ACATGGGTCAGCTGGTGTTTGGTAAGGGATACCGATCCCTTTTCAGCATCTCTGACGATCATCCTAAATTTTCTATCTACTCTCTTTGATCAAGGCAAGTCCTATAGATCAATTATTGTTTTTAGATCTGCTATTTCTGCGGCCCACAACCCTATTGACAATGCATCAATAGGAAAACACCCTTCAGTTTGTAGACTTTTACGAGGGATCAGGCTAGCCAGACCCCCTCTTTCAAGATATTCCAATTTCTGGGACGTCACTCAGGTTTTTTCCCTTTTAGACTCCTGGCCCTCTAATGAGAATTTGACGTTACGTCAACTCTCTGCCAAACTGGCCTTACTCCTATGTCTGGTATCCTTCCGTAGGGTCTCCGACATTCGAGCATTTGATTTCCACGCTGTAGTTTTTTCACCTGAGGGCGTTAAATTTCACATCACCAGGTGAACGAAGACTAATTCCTCCTCTGTATTCTACCCTTACTTTCCGAATAGACAGTCGCTTTGCGTGGCGCTCTGTGTAAGGCACTATATAGATGCCACAACCACTCTGCGTTCCCCTACAGGACCCCTTCTCGTTTCCTATGTCAGACCACACAAACCGGTGTCCGCTCCCACCGTCGCACGGATCAGATGGATACTAGCCCAAGCAGGTATTGACTCCTCTTTTGGAACGCATTCAGTCAGAGGAGCAGCCGCATCCTCAGCCTTCCGTGCGGGTAGTTCCCTCTCAGACATTGTCGTCTGCAGATTGGACCAGTGAATCCACCTTTCGTACATTCTATATCAAACCTATGTCACATACTGCATCTTCTATCATATAAGGGCGTTAAAACAGCAAATATGAAGCCTCCTGTCTTGCCATAAAATTAGGGATTATTCTAGCCCTAGTGACTGAATAATCTAAATTTTATTAACGACAGGAGGCGAATATTTTCCCTCCCTTCTTTGTTTTTCATTATCATTTGTACCCGCCCTAAGGTAAGTTACTAAAAAAAAAAAAAAAATATATAAAAAACAAATTTCTAGTCGATCTGTTTCAAACACATTCACACATCATCTGTCATAGGTTTACACCACAACACCAAGAGTTTGACATACTCAACATCATTTTACATGAAATCTATTGAAATTGCTGTCCCTAGTATGCATGCCATAAACTTGCATTCAACTAGTATGAGAACCTATACTCTCATGGTTTTTTTCTCTACTTCCCTTTAGTGTGAAGAATCCCAACGCTTGTGATATATGGATTCATCAATCCCGTTGAAAGTTTACATGGCTGACTACATCAGGACCTTGGATTGGTCACGGTTCATAGTTATAGTTTACATGGTTGATACTCGGATATCGTCGGCTACAGCAAGAAAGAGGACTTGGGAGGAGTTTGATGACATCATATACTGTTATACACTCTGATTGGTTGAATTGTTTTTACACTATTGTTAACTATTTCTTTGCTGCTGGGAGGTTCAGTAAAGAAAGATAAGCAAATATTCGCCTCCTGTCGTTAATAAAATTTAGATTATTCAGTCACTAGGGCTAGAATAATCCCTAATTCTGAATGTCTCTGTTGAGATACTAACAATCATTTGAATCCCACGTACTTGCACTTGCTCTGGAGATCTGATTTCCCGTTCCCCACTCTTCACAGCACTCTTGTCTTTGATTCTCCTTCTAGACTTAACTGATGACAGCTGCAGTTTGGAATTCTTGAAAAACAAATGATTTGATCAGTTATATTTTAAAGGAAATAAAATCAGCTTCTAAAAACGTATAATATTACTGCCATTATCAAGTTATTTCTCTATTGCCTGTTAAGCATCTTCAACATTGTAGCGGGACCATTGCCACTGTCCGTCTATTTAACAATAGAAGCCTTATCATGTATGACACCGTATTATGTTTGAAAATGTCAGAATATTTTTTTTTTGTGCATATGTCATTTTCTTACATATAAAATTGAATCTATACGTTTTATACACTCACATCTGTCATGGAAAAAGGCCACTGTAGCAGTGGTGGTTAATTTAAATATAGTAATATTTGTAGACTTTCCTTACATATTGTTATGTGTGTATTCAGCAGACTGTGTGTGTGTATTCATCAGTCTCTGTATTCAGCAGTCTTGTGTGTGTGTATGTATTCAGCAGTTTAGTTCTTTTAAAACAAAAGTTGTTAATTAGTTCGGACAACTGTACGAGTTTTTTTTTTCTAAATTTAAACCTCAGTATTCAGGTTTAATTGCTGTGTTGGCACTTTGAGGGAAAAAAAAGTTGGCATGTATTGCTGTTTGGGCACTCGGGCTCAAAAAGGTTCGCCATCACTGCTCTATAGCTTATACTTTATTGTGGTTTTTACCACCTAATCTGCCACAATGTCTTGTGTTCCAAGCCAGTACACGTCTACCCTAGTATCTTCTGTCACAACTAGTGGGTACATGGTTGTTCACTATTTTATATAACTTTATAAAACCCACAATCCTACATTTCAAGCTATGTTGTACGTTTATATAGTATACCATGAAATGTGATTGATTTTTGACACATTTTTCTCTATTTCTATGGTATTATGTATATTATATGTGGATTGTGAATAAAGAAAGATTTACAAATAAATAAATAAAAATGTGTCAACAAACTCATTAAAAGAGATGCGGTTTCTTTTACATTACATTTCTTTTAACACCCCTTGCTTTATGCTTGTTTTAGTAAACCACAGATATCAGCTAAACACAAAATAATTATCAAAGGACTCCGATTCACTGATTAAGTTCCAGAGAATATGATTCAGTGAACGCATAGCAAAACACCTTCCTGCCGTGATTAATATGTTCAGATTTTGCCTTTGGCCTGACCTGTTCTGTGTAATAGCTTTCCGGAATCCCTTAAATAAACTGCACGGTGATAAATGAAAGGATTTGGGACACTTAACTACCTTCCGAGCAGACGTAATATGTCTTAACGAACATGAAAAACACAGAGTCTGGAGTAAAAATCTTTATGATGAATAACAGTAGTACAACATGCATTGCAGAATGTGTCCCAAATGCTAATTAAAATGTTTTACTTGTTCCCCATCCTTTTATTACTTCATTCTCTTTTTTCTAAAGTTTTTTGTTTTCTAGTTGTTTTTTTTTTGCCCAATCAAATATACCACAGTAATGATATCATATTTTTGAAGATCGGCATTACATACAATCTCACTTCTTAGTTGTGCAAACTAAACTCTGGGCATTCAGTCCATACAATAACTTGGTGAGCATATCACCATGACCCCATCTTGGCTTGTCTCATCCCCAGGTCCCTCTTCAAATGTCCCCATATTGAGAGCTCTCAGAGACACACATGCTTACAGATACATATTTGAACAAATACTCTGTCATACAAGTCTTACAGAAACCCTCACAGACTCTTAAAGGAAATCCCATACACTATTACAGGCTCTCTCAGACAAGCATTCAGAATTTCGCTCACACTCTTATGGACTCATACCGAGGCATACCTACTCTCATAGGCACTCTTACACATCGTCACACATGCTCCCAGAAACAATACACACTCACATACACACTGCACTACAATATGCATTAACAGTGCCCCTTAACATTGTCAGACCTCCCTTTACATTGATATTGCTCATTCCTGGAGGTTTAGTGGATGGATTTCGGAACATGAGAAACAAGCTTACAGAACTATTTTGGAAAGTGCTCTGTAGTGAGGCTCTGTCGCAGCCTTGGTGAGCACATCCTCCAAATCAGGGCCGGACTGGCCTACCGGGATACCGGGAAATTTCCCGGTAGGCCGCCAGCCCTGGGGCCGCTTTGACATGTGGCTGCACTCAGCCACAAGACATAATTTTTTTTTTTTGTATAGGAGTATGCGGCCGCGCGGCGCACCCGCGCCGGCCGCTACTGCTTCCTGTGCGAGCGCACAGGCACTTCCTGGCAGCCGCCGGATGTGAGCGGATAATGACGACATGACGTCATATCCGGCGGCTGCGCGGCGGCGGCACCACCAGCAAGCCTGAATCGCGGCCTCTCTTCCCACCGGCACCATTGAACTGGAACAGTTTTTAAGGTAAGAATAAAGGGGCTTGGGCTAGGGGGACCTATTGTATTGGGGGCCATTAATGTATTTGGGGCATGGGAGGAGAGCAGCAATGTATTTGGGGCATGGGAGGGAGGAGTGAGGCAGCAATATATTTAGGGGCATGGCAGCAATGTATTTGGGGCATGGGAGGGAGAGCAACAATGTATTTAGAGCATAGGGAGCAAATGTATTTGGGGCATGGGAGGGGCAGCAAATGTATTTGGGAGGAGGGTGGCATGGGGGAGGGAGGGGCAGGGGGGCATGGGAGGAGGAGCAGCAATATCATTGGGGGCATGGGAGGGGGGCAGCAATGTATTTGGGGCATGGAGGGAGGGAGAGGGAGCAGCAATGTATTTGGGCATGGAGGGAGGGGGCAGCAATGTATTTGGGGCATGGGAGGGAGGGGCAGCAAATGTATTTGGGGCATGGGAGGGAGGGGGCAACATATTTGGGGCATGGGGGAACAGCAAGTATTTAGCATGTGTGGGGGGGGGCAGCAGTATTTGGGGCATGGGGGGCGTAGCGTATTTAGCATGGGGCAGCAGCTATGGGGCCATTTGGGGCATGGGAGGGGGGGGGGCAACAATCATTTGGGGCATGGGAGGGGGGCAGTGTATTTAGGGAGCCAGCAGTATGTATTGGGCATAGGGGGCCAGTATGCATTTAGGGGAGGCCAATGTGTATTTGTAATGTATTTAGAGCCAATATGTATTTTTGGGAAGGGGCAGTAATAGAATAGGGAGGGTCAGTCAATGTTAGTAGGGAGGGGTGACAGCAGTAAATTAGGGAGAGGGACAACAGTGTATTACATAGGGGAAGGGAGGGCCAGATGTGTATTCGATGGGGGCGGGGGGCAGAAGTGTATTAGGGTGAGGGGGGGCGGGAAAGATCTGACTTGGGAATTTGAGATGAGGCAATGATTATATTTGTGACTGTCTGTCTGTGTGTGACTGTGTGTGTGTGTGTGTGTGACTGTGTGGCTGTCGGTGTGTGTGACTGCCTGCCTGTGTGTAACTGTATGTGTGTTTCTGTCTGCCTGTGTATGTGTGTGGCTGTCTGCCTGTCTCTGTATGTGTGGATGTTTGCCTCGGTGTCAGTGACTGTCTGCCTCTGTGTGTATGGATGTCTTTGTGTGTGTGCATCTGCTAGTGAGTGAGCGTGCGAGCTTCTGTGTGTGTGTGTGTGCTAGTGAGTTTGTGTGTGTGTGCCTGCCAGTGAGTGAGCTTGTATGTGTATCAGTGAACTTGTCTGTAGGGATCATATGTGTGTGTACATGTTAGTGAGCTTGTCTGTGAGGAGCATGGGTGTGTCAGAGCCTGTCTGTGGTGAGCATGTGTGTACAGTGAGCTTGTCTGTAGTAAGCATGAGTGTGATCGTGAGCTTTTCTGTAGTGACCATATGTGTGTCAGTGAGCTTGCTGTAGTGAATCTGTGTGTTAGTGAGCTCTTCTGTAGGGAGCATGTGTGTGTCAATGGGCTTGTCTGTAGGGAGAGTGTGTGCGCATCAGTGAGCTTGTCTGTAGTGAGCGTGTGTGTGTGACAGTGAGCTTGTCTGTAGTAAGCTTGTGTGTGTATCAGATTTTGTCTGTACTAAATTTGTGTGTGTGCCAGTAACCTTGTCTGTGTTTGTGTCAGGATTACTGTTTGATCCAGCACGTAGAACTGTACAGCACGGATGACAAATAAGTAACATATTACCGGTCCTTAGAATGGCCGGATTTAACGTACAAAGAATAGTCAAAAATACTAGCGAGGTCAGGGAACACAGAAAGGGACACAGCGATGAGGAAAGCCAGGAGTCAGGATACCAGAATATAGAGAAGTCAATAAACAAAGCCAAAGTCAAAAACCAGGTAGAAAACTATAAACAGGAACGCGCTCTCGGACAACCACAAGGGAAACCACGACAGGGCACTGAGCAGGCTGAGAACTGGGCCTAAATACCCCTCCTTTCTTTCTGATAGGCTGTAACCGGCCTTTGACCCCAAAGTCAGTTACCAGGTTTCATTTGCATAATTGCTGCTCAGCATTAACCCTTCTGTGGATTAGGTTGCTGCTCGGCACAACTTTTCCTGTGTGGACAGTAAATGTCATTAACAACATTTCTATAAGCGGATGAATACGTGACAGTTTGTCATTGAGATTGTCTGTCAATGAGCCTATTTGTGTGCATCAGTAAGATTGTCTGTGTCTGTGTGTGAGTATGCTTTACTGTATAATTTAATTACCCTGAAAGAAGAAATGTATCAATAATATATATATATATATATATATATGCTGTTGTACCTTGCACTCAGACTTCGAAGTTGTGTGACCGGGTTCATCACCAGGGCTTCAGTATCCAGGCAATTGAAATAGTTGGCTGCACTCTCAGATTTCCTTAATACATAACTTTTATTGAAATATTTAAGAGAAGATCAATGTTTCAGTCCCTCTTGTGGACTTTCATCATGATCCTGATGAAAGTCCACAAGAGGGACTGAAACGTTGATCTTCTCTTAATTCAATAATAGTTACATTTTAAGGAAATCCGAGAGTGCAGCCAACTATTCCAATTGCATATATATATATATATATATATATAACACCCTACATAGCACAATGACTTATGGGGCTGGCATAGATTTTTTTCCAGGGCTGCTTCGTATCCCCAGTCCGGCCCTGCTCCAAATCCCCACTCAACCACCTACATTCTGCCCGTATAAAAAGCAAGATATGCATTTGATTCAGTGGTGGATCCAGGACAAATGTTCCCTCCCAAGAAGTCAGGAGCATTGATGTATGGCCGGCATTAATGGCTGAATTAATGATCATGCTCACCAAATGCCTGTAGTCATGTTGCATTTATGAATCTCTATCTCTCTGTGGTCATGTATGTTTGTTTGTCTGCATGTGAGTGTCGCTATCTGCATTTGGGCATATGCATGAATCTGTGTATGTGTCAGTGTATTTGTCACTTCATTCATGTTTGTAAGTGAGCATACTTGTATTTGCAAATGTAATGTGTCCCTCTAACAAAATCTAACAAAAAATTCCGCTGTGTCCCTTGTGAATTCAGCCCCTAATTTATACAGGTCGCACTCCTGTAAGGTAGACCTTGTATTTACCCCATATGCCACTGCACCAGACTTGATGAAGCTGGTATCAATGGAGATCTTGGACCTGTGATCGACAGGCCCTATTTTTGATCCATCAAAATATTAAAGTAAAGAACCACGAATTGCATTCATTGAATATAACTAAAGACACATAAACAACTGCTGGATGGGGACTGCTTGAAGTTAACTAAATCCTAGGAAGCTGGGGGTTTTAATCATAGATGTAAGCAATGAGTGTAGCAAGAACTGGATGTCTGGATGAGGGTCACAGACCAGCAGTAGCCCTGGGCAACTGTTTAAGCTTCAGATGAGAGGTCTACTTTATCATCATTTGAAATTATGTGATTGTTTCCTTTAAACTGTGTCTGTTACTCCAAAATCTAACCAGCACAAGTAGAAAGACTGGAAATGCTCTAATGCCTAAATCTGGTTCTTTAGCAGAACATATAGTATCCCAGATGTAGTGAACTACAATTAATTTGATTCATTACCAGTTGGGTAAGCCAAATAATGACTGTGGATAATATAAGTGGTAGTTCATGGCTGTACAACCCCTCGTTTACACAGAAATAGAAATTAGGAATATATCTAGGATGAGTGACTAAAATGGTATAACTTCTAACTGGTGTGATAGTGTAAAATAATATGTAGATGAAAAGATTTTAATAAAAAAGGCACCTTTGCCAGAAAACAGATATTTTGTTTTTATATATATATTAAATATTATCAGAAAACTGTTAAATCTCATTTTGTTGCATTCCGTTGTCTTGTAAAGTGACCAAACTGGCTTTGGTGCATGGTTTGCTGACCTGCTTCTCGACTTAAGGTGGCCGGCCCTATCACAGACTTAAGAAATGCCTATCTCACATGAAGGTATCACTTCTTCAAATTCCTCTGTCCTGGTAAAACCCTTTTTCTTACCTGCGGAGGAAGGGGCTTGGTCGGGGAGTGCCTCACTGTTCTTTTTTCTTTTTATGATTCTAAGTTTACAAAACATCTAAAGTGTCGACCACTGTATAATCTGCAATACTGCGATCCTGCTTAATTTCCTATGATGCATAATGTTTACTGTATGCCATCGGCATGTTTAACGTCTGATATTCCTAATGAAAAAAATGTATTAGCAAAACAAAAAGGAAGGCAAGCAGAGCTGTTCTGTAGAAATTCCTGAACTCGGCTATAGCCACAGCTTGTCCATAGTAGCCAAAATAATTGAATTCCTATTTCAATTCTCTACAACTCAGAGTTTATGAATAGCCTTGTGTTAATGTAAAACAAGCTGAATGAAGTTAAGGTTGTCAAGCAACATTGTCAACTATCTTTTTCAAAAATCTGTTGACAATATTAGTTTTAATGTGTCTTAGGCTTGGGATATTGGCGCAAAACACCTGACAGTAGAGAATTCTTCCCTCTCTGAGCAGGTTTTCGGTGTGTGAAGTTATTTTCTATTCTCAACTAAACCAAACATGAAACCTGAGGACTTCAAGGCTGATATAGTTTGCAAGGTAGTAAATATTCAGAGAGTGTGTTCATAAATAGTGCATAGTCTCTCAGCAGGGTGCTGGATCATACGGCAGATGAGAGAGCATTTCACAGCTCAGAGGTGTCGGTCTGGGTATTTCTTATGCTCTTTTATCCAACGCTCCCCCTACTTATTCAACTGCAGTGGTCAAAGTACTAGGTGGGGGCAGAAAGCAATGGGACCACATTTTAAACAAAATTAAAAAAAATTAAAATACATTTAGAAACTAAACATAGAAACTAAAATCATTAAATTAAGAACTATAAAATTAAATAAATGGTGTTTGATTTTAATTTGACTTAAATATGCAAAGTATTAATATAACCTATTTCACCGTTTTCTTGTTTTAGCATTGACTTTTAAACTGACCTTGATTCACTGCAGAGAAGAAAAAAAAACTGCAAGTATATAATGAGTGGAAAGAAATGCCCATTTTTATTTGCGTTGTCAGTTTGTGGCCAAACACATCACAGCTAGGGGAGTCTATTAATTGACCCAAAAGCCTTGACTAACTTATTCCCTGGTGACAATATTTGAGTTAATGGAGTAAAATCCACTGTACGGAATCCGAACGCGTATTTATAAAGTTTGTAGCAAGTTCATACTGGCTCAGCTAAAGAAATGATATCTTCGTTTAAAATCTTGTAGATTGTAAGCTTTTTCGAGCAGGGTTCTCAACAAAATATTGTTCCTGTAACATTTTGTAATTGTCACATTTATTGTTAAATTTCCCCCTTTATAATATTGTAAAGTGCTGTGGAATATTTTGGTGCTATATAAACGATGATAATAATAATAAAAATAACAGGGGAAAAGTTGGCCAACAGCAATTAAAAATCTACAGAGCCCTCAAATAATATTGGCATCTTTGGTAAATATTAGCAGAGAAAGCTGTGAAAAATTGTCATTGTTGTTTGGACTGGCCCGGTGGGCCGCAATGACCATGGGCCGAGGCCGGCAGGGAAGATCAGTGCATCTCCCCTGCCGGCCCATGCAGAGCCAGCGCTATCAGAGTGCCGGCCCTGCTGTGTGCCTTCATGGGCCGTTGGGGAGGCAAACTATCTCCCCACAGGTGCTGAGATGCGGTTGTAGAGGGAGGGAGCGAGGACCCGGGGAGCTCTATCCTGCAGCTCTGCCGGGATCCTCTCTTGAGGTCGGAGCATTGCCGTGGTTACTACGTAACCAGGAACTACAGGGTAGAGTTCACTCCTCACCGAACCACCAGGGATTTCCTACTGGACCAGCAGGGCTG